TTCAGCCTCCGCAAGAGAAGGTTGAGAGGTGACCTTGTGGCTGCCTATAAGTTCATCACGGGGGCACAGAAGGGAATTGGTGAGTATTTATTCACCAAGGCGCCCCTGGGGGTTACAAGAAATAATGGCCACAAGCTAGCAGAGAGCAGATTTAGACTGGACATTAGGAAGAACTTCTTCACAGTTCGAGTGGCCAAGGTCTGGAACGGGCTCCCAAGGGAGGTGGTGCTCTCCCCTACCCTGGGGGTCTTCAAGAGGAGGTTGGATATGCATCTACACTTTCCTGCTTATGCAGGGGGTCGGACTCGATGATCTATTGAGGTCCCTTCCGACCCTAACATCTATGAATCTATGAATCTATAAATGATCGTTAGCTGACTTGGAAACAATGGCTTGTCATCTCTTGTAATCTCTCCCTTTTTACTTTATTGGTTTCATCAGGTAAAAGGACCAAATGGGAAAACAAAATGAAACCACTGTGATGGAATTCATTCTCTTGGGCTTCCCTGGATCCTTCTCTTTGCAGATTTCCATCTTCATGTTCTTCTTTCTTGTGTACATCCTAACAGTCACAGGAAACATGGCTATCATAACCCTTGTGATGACCAACCACTGGCTCCACACCCCCATGTACTTTTTTCTCTGCAACCTCTCTTTTCTAGAAATATGGTACACAACAGCTTCTGTTCCCAAGACCCTTGCCCTTTTCTTAGGGAAAAGCAGGACTATCTCCTTCCATGGCTGCCTCCTGCAGATGTACTTTATGTTTTCCTTTGGCTGCACAGAACATTTCCTCTTGGCTGTCATGGACCCACTGCGCTATAGCTCTATTATGAACAACACCTTATCTACTCAGTTGGCCATTGCATGTTGGGTGGGTGGTTTCCTGGTTATCTCAATAATAGCATTTCTAATTGGCAAGTTGTCCTTCTGTGGTCCTAATATCATTAACAATTTCTGGTGCAATATAGATTCCTGGATAATCCTATCTTGCACAGATACACACATAGTTGAGACAGCAGCTTTCATCATCGCAGTGATTGTCATCCTTGGCTCATGTATAATTACTCTACTTTCATACATCTATATCATCTCTACCATACTGAGAATCCCATCAGCCAAAGGACAACAGAAAGCCTTTTCCACTTGTTCTTCCCATCTTTCTGTTGTGATTATATGGTATGGCTCCACCATTTTTCTTTTTGTCAAGCCGTCTGCCCGGAGTTCATTGGAACAGACCAAGATACTCACCATCCTGAACACTATTGTGACACCATTGCTAAATCCTTTCATTTATGCTCTAAGAAACAGGGAGGTGAAGGTAGCCTTGTGCAATGCCCTGTCATAGGACATAAATTTATTTCTGTGCCTCCGAGGCTATTTCATTAAAGTCAAGAAGGTTGAGTTTATAGATCAGTCCGCAGCCACATGAGAGACCAAATCTTGATTTCTGAACCACCATGGCAGCTGCATTTCTCTGTGACAATGCAATTAAAAAAAGTCAGGGCACAGTGTGTTTAAAATAGGGATCAAGGTCTTTTGGGTAAATTGTAGTTGTGGAATAGATTCCCAAAGGAAAATCAGTGAACATAGAGCGAGCCTGAGCATTTCTTGGAAACCTTAAAAATCTTTAAAAAAAAATAAATAAAGGTTTTTACTGTAAAAAATCAGCGTCTCCATGATGATATCCATTCCATTAACAAAAATCTAATAAAAACAACAATGTAAATAAAAATCTGGATGTTCATACACTGTAAGGGCTGGAACAGACCTTGTGAGATCATCAGGTCCAGCCCCCTGCACTAGACAGGAAAGACAACTGGGGTCATGTGACTCCAGCAAGGTGATTGTCTAGCCTCCTCTTGAAGATTTCCGGGGTAGGTCAGTGGCAATGCATAGGGGATGCATGGGGGTGCACGTGCACCCGCTGACACCAGCGTTCCAGGCAGAGGGGTAGGCAAGAGTGCTGGTGCCCCCCTTGAGAGCACCAGCCGGGGAGTCGGGGCACCAGGAGAAGCGATCCCCACACTCCCCCTGTGGCTGATCATGCCCACCCGGAGGTGCCACTGCCACTTCCAGGTCAGCGCAATCAACAGTGGAGAGACCCCACCCTCATTGCTGACTGGCTGCTGGGGGGGCAAGTGCCCTCCCGACTCAGGAGGCACCAGTCACCCATGCGCTAAATGATTGCACCACCTCTACACAGAGCCTATTCCAAACTCTGGGCACTCTAACTATGAAGAAGCTTCTCTGTGTGTTAAACCTGAAATGGTCTTCTAGGAGTTGGTGGCCATTGCTCCTGGTTTTTCCCTCTGGTGCCTTGTTGAACCATACACCAAGCTCTTGATGTATGCCCCTGATGTAGCAGTAAGCTGCTACCAAGTCCCCTCTCAGCCTTCTCTTTTTTAGGATCAAGAATCCCAGGTACCTCAGCCTTGTCTCATACGACTTGTTTTCTTGCAAGTCTCTGATTATATGGGTGGCTCTTCTCTGGACTCTCTCAAGCTTTACCACATCTTTGATGAAGTGCAGCACCCAGAACTGGACGCAGTACTCCAAATGCAGTGTCACCAGTGTGGAGTATAGTGAAAGAATCACTTCCTTGGTTTGACTTGAGATGCATTGATTGATGCATGCCAGAGTACTACTTTCCCTGCTGGCTACAGCATTGCACTGACAGCTCATGCTCACACTATGCTCTATTATTACCCCTAGGTCCCTTTCAGTCATGGTGCTGGTCAGTTTGGTACAGCCGAGCCCATAAGTATGTTGGGGGTTGTTCATCCCCAGAGAGAGCACTTTACATTTCTCGATGTTGAACTTCATCTGGTTCCAATCCTCCCAACTTGCCAGCCTGCCTAGGTCCGCCTGTATCTGCAGCTTATCTTCAAGCATGACCATGCTCCCCCATAACTTGGTGTCATCCATGAACTTGGCCAATGAGCTCTTTACTCCCACATCCAAATCATTGATAAAGATGTTGAACTGCACTGAAGCAAGCACGGACCCCTGAAGGACACTTACGGACTTACAGACACTGCCACACTGACAATTGTGGTTGGTGATGTCAACCCATTGTGCCCACAAGGCCTTGATCTTTATGTGGGACTGTCATGCCAACAGATTTTGCGCACGCTCCCACATCCAGCCTCACAGCACCTCATAAAAGTGGGCATTGGAGTAAGAGCCCTGCTTGAGCTGGTGCTGCACCTCCACTTTGCCCCACAGTGCCATCAGGTTGCCAGTCGACTCTTGCCACCACTTGGGTCTCTGGGTGGTGGGCATGGGCCTGGGTGTGCACAAGAATGACATCATTGATGGTTCCATGCTGGCTCTCGGGCCTCCCTGTGACTGTTCCTGTGCTTTCAGGCCTGGGTAGCTGCATGCAGTGCCCAGCACAGGGCTCAGCATGGGACTGACGTGTACAGCTGAGGCAATGCCCCACAGCACCTGCATGCTCAGGGCAGGCTGCTGGTGAGGGTTATGGGGACCTGGAACTGACCCCAGGAGCCAGAAGCTGCCTGCAGTTGGGCCTGGGTCCTGACAGGCCTGGATGGCTGCAGCCTGCACTAACCTGCTACAGTGTGCAGCACCCTGCAGGCCTGGATGGTGTGGACCTGGCAGCCATGCAGCACTACACACAGGCAGTGGCACTGAGGTTCAGGCAAGCTGGCACAGATAGTCTGTGGCCTGCCCAGGGGGACACAGGAGCCTGGAATGACACCGGGTCCCTGCTTATGTGCCCCAGAGCTCAAAATGCCTGCATGCTTTGAACAGCCTGTGGCAGGGGCTTCCATAGAGGAAGGCCAACCCTGTTGGAGGAGAGCCCAGAGTACCTGGGGCTAGCCTCAGGCTAGTCCCCCTAGTGGCAGGGCTGACAAGGGAGCAAACATGTCTCTACGTCACATCTACACATGTGTTAGTGCACAGCAATTAATCGTGCGTAAATTTGCTACCTGTATTTGCAGATAGCAAATGGACTGTCAGGTCATTTACTGTACCATAAGCATCTGCACATGTGGACACACGCATGTACTGTGCAGTAAACTAGGCTACTCCACAGTTAAGCATCTCATGTAGATGTTCCCTCAGAGGGGTCTAATTTCCAGAGGAAGACTGAAGAAAGGGCTGGGTACCGAGTGCCTTGAAATCTGGTAGTTAGAGCACAATTCTGGGAAGAAGATGTAGTTTTATACCTCCTGTGGGTGGTATAAACCTTGAAACTACACAGGCCAGTACTGTGTAGGACTGGCCCGGGCTCCCAACTGGCCAAGCTGGGGCCAGGGTCAGAGTGGCCAAAGGGCAAGCATGCCCACTGTGAGGGGTAGGCCAGAGTACACCCCAACTAACCGGAAAGCAGGGCCAGACTCAAGTGAGTGAAGGTCTCTCACGGGAGACACCACATGTGCCCAGCTTGAGGCCTTTGAGTGTCAGGTGAGGGAACTCCAGGCAGATGTTAGCAGGCTGCAGGGGATCAGGGCTCCTGAGGATGAGATTGATGGGTACTTTCATTCTCTGTAGGACCACACACCTAGTGGGAAGACAACAAGGGAGCTGGATGGAAGACAGTTACCTCCAGAGCCAGACATTGCACTGCTGGGACAACTTCCCCAGTACAGATGGGGAACAGATATGAGGCCCTGGTCTCACTGGGGGATAGTGCAGCAGATGAAGCCACATCCATATCTACCAGCATGCAGACTGAGGCTCAACCGGCAGCCGGAGGAATATACCCTGGGTTATAATTGTGGGTGACTCCCTCTGGAGAGGAACAGAGGGAGCCATCTATTGCTCGGATCCCATGGTATGGGAGGTATGCTGCCTGCCTGGATCTCAGATTTGGGACGTTACTGCGAGGATTCTGGACCTCATCCAGCCCTCCAACTACTATCCCGTGGTCCTCATCCATGTGGGTATAGATGATGTGGCCTGGAGTACTCCAGGCCAGGTCATGAGTGACTACGTGGCTCTGGGGGCCAGGCTTCGGGGTTTGGGGTACAGGTAGTTTTCTCGTCTATCCTCCTGGTCAGCGGTCATGGCCAGCATCACAGCAGCTGTATTAGAAAGGTCAACTTGCAGTTCCAGAGTTGGTTTCATCATGCAAGTTTTGGCTTTTTCAACCAGAATCCACATTTCCATGCAAGGGGCATGCTGGGACATGATGGTCTACATCTCTCTTCAAAAGGTAAGTGTCTGTTCTCTTGCAGTTTGGCTGATCTCCTACACAGGGCTTTAAACTAGGTTCATCGGGGGACAGGGATGCTTAAGACAGGGTGAACCTAGGATCAACAAATCATGACCCACACCCCAGCCCACCCTGCCCTGCCCCACATGTAGATCCAGGGCACGCGTCCCCCGCATGCTCTTCTGGGCTGTGTTCTGCCCCACTCCTCCCCACGCCCCCTGGACAAGCCGCTCACAGCTCCATCCCACACCCCTGCCCAGCTGTGCATGGCTTGCCCCCACTCCCTACCTGAATCCACTGGTGCTGCCTTGTGTTTGGGGGGGCAGGGGAACGTTCCCCCTCGATCTGTGCATGGCAGAGGCAGCTGAAGCTGAGGGCTGGGCTTTGTGCCCCAAGCCCTGCTGCACATGCCCCCCAGGCCTGCCCCTTCCCTCTCCCACTGACTGACCTGCTGTGCGCTCTCACCTCCCCCAGCCCAGAATTGACTTGAAGTTGACTGTTGCTCTTAGCCCCCCACACCCCACCTCACATGTGCACTTAGCCCACTCAGCCCAGGATCAATTTGTAGAGGCTCTGGAATCCACCAGTAAATCACGATCAACTGGTTGGTGACCACTGATTTAAGACAAATCTTTTTAAATGTAATAAACATTTTTAGTTTAATGAGGATTAAACCCCATCATATGTACAAGTGTCCTAGGTCTTACAGGTTCCAGGCTAGTAGAAGTGCTTTCCTTCCTCCCTTGCTAGCATCATCCCTAACCAAGGTACCCTTTTACCTTCTCGCACACAGACTGGCATGTATTGACTGAACTTGTGCTGGGGCCTATACATTTATAAAGCTGCCTCATGCTCTAGCTCTATATTTCAACCTGTGACTAAGTCAGAAAAGCATATACATCCAGAAACCCATGAGCAGATCACGTTAGACCAGTAATTATCAAACAACCGGGGTGTCAAAAAACCCTGGAATGCCCTGGAGACCTTCCAAGGTTGCTGCAGGGTACCAGACAATGCTAGGACTGTTAGGGGTGAAAACATGATGCACAGGATAAAGCCAGAGACTTCAAATAGGAATCAAGAGTGTCAAAGACATTCTGGCCTGCTGTGGTCTTTCTGTGCTCCTTGAAACCAAAGAATTACACCATTTTTCTGCATTCAGT